TGGGTGTAAATCCGTTGGAAATAAAGTAATATTATTATTATTATTATTATTATAAGTTATCTAACCAAAAAAGTATGCTTCTAATAAATATTTTTTGATAAGAATAACAGTAATAGCCATGACGACTATAAGTCTCAAGTAATTTACACAACTAATAAACTACAGTATTTTTTATATTTCTTACAGTTAAAGTTAAATATTTTACATGCTTCATCGAAAGCCACTGTTGTACCTACATCATATTTTATTGTTTATACACATTTTTTAAAAACTTACATAAATATGTTATTTGTATAATCCATCATACTTACAAAAGTTTGTTAATATTTCCAAATTTTTTCGGTTACTGATTTACTTTCGGTACAAATTTATTAATGTACTCAAGAAAGACAAATAAAGAAACTTAGCAAAATCTTTATATACCTTGTACTAATTTATCAATATCGAAAATAACGTGAGCCGACAACAAAAAGCTCCCTTTAATTAGCACTAGATTTGGCTGTCTTTTCCATTTTCTAAGTCTGCTACACCCGTTAAACATATTGGCAATACTAATCATGTGATTAACTGGCTTATCATTGTAGTCCTCTTCAAGGTAACCTAACCGCAGCTAGATCTCAGCGAGACATTTTGATAGATTTTATACCACAACTTCACGACGATGAGATACTATTTATGGAACACCTGTCAACAATAACAGAAAAAAAATTATGCTTAGAACAAAATAGGCAATATTTTCAGTAATCTAAGTTAATTTTATTGACATAATAAAATTAATTACTTTTGTATCAATTTTCCTTGTAATTTACACTTGTTTTATTTTTTTATCTTAGGTGTATTAAAAAAGTGCCCTCCATGTTTGTTTTTACGTTTGTCATTTGTTGATACTTTTCAGTATGGTTTAATCACCGACGTGCTAAATCCTTTCCAAGGATGACTCGATTACAAATTGTTCACCTGATATTTGCAACTCTGCATGTTGAAACATTGTATAATGCTTTGATTTTAAAATACACAAAATCTCACAACATAATAACCATAGAATACTATTTAATACTATATTTAGATTATATTATGTTTACAGTGGATATAAGCTTTATTATAATTAACTAAGGGCTGTGTGCTTTAGAAATGTTTTAACGTGATCCCAAATAATCTCAACCACTCTTCGTACGGTACAATACCTTTTCATCTATTTAATCCACTTGTCTGAAATAAATTTCGGGGTCAAATTTTGTTTGTTGTATGCTTCCACACGGGCCCGCCTAGAGAGATGTTCACAGAAAAACAAAGTCAGTTCCAAAGTAATAGCCATAACATTTTAAAAATTAAAAAATAAAGTGGTGATTTTGAGCAACTCTGATTGCTTCACGAAAATGATATGTTTAATTTAATGAAAGACTTTTAGAACCACTTTGAAATTCTCACAATGATATTCGTTTTTTAGCATTTTGGGTGTTATTTGTGTCGCAAATTATGCGACGTGAACCTAGGCGAGATATTTTAATTAAAATAGTAGAAGTTTATTCATGTGCTAAATTCTATTACAAGGCTCTTCCTGGTGAGGTTTTAACAAATTTATTTTTCCATCGTGCCAGAATTTTTGTATAAACTCCCTATAAATTGGGTAAACTACCGTAAACTACTCACTGATGCTTGGCTATGTATAGTAAAACGTTTATGTCCATCAGGATCTACATATAAGATAAAAACACAATTTTTCCTCGAAAATGTTTGGTGGATAATACTGTTGTAAAAAATTAATGAAGCGAATCGTCGACTTCCGTTATTTAGATACACATTTTCGAACAAAATATGATCTGTGAGAGAAAAAAAATCTGTTAAAATACTGAAACAATTTTCGTATTTGGTGGTAAATCTTTGAACATTCATGCTCATTTATGAAATATGAAATTACAAGGTAAGTAAATTTTACGAGCAGTAAAATAACTCCATTTAGGGAACGTGAATTTACAAATTCAATAAACTTCAGGAGTAATACAATAAAGTGGAGAAAGATGTTGCGATTAGATACAAGTGAGTTTTAACGTCGCTCATCATCCTTTTATTATCTGCTCTCGTGATTTTTTTCTTCCTTTAAAGTAGTTACCATTAGAGCATGAAAAAAATCCTCGTAGCTCTGCACCAACTTTTATTCATAATCAGTTAGTAACATACAGTTTTGCTGACACCTCAAAGATTATAAAGTGAGCAATTCAAGGATACACTTTTCAATCAGTCGGAAAAGCGTGAAAGCGGTCAGTATAATCAACTTAAGCAGTCAGAAATGAAACCGTTTCCAATGTATCGCGGCGCCACTGTCGAGTTAAACTATAAATGACAAATTAAAGTATCTACAGTTAATTTAATAAAATGTCAATTCTGCAGCGCATACTAAGTGTTAATATTTTACCTAAATAAACGATAATTTCTTTATTAATAATAACTATAATGTTGCTAGTTTCATTGAATGATTGTAAATAAAATAACATGCAGATCTCAGCAAAAGTACGAGTGACATTTCTCTGAATGTAACATTTATTTTCTCGAAATGTCAAACAGCATTCGCGTTATAGTTTACTGACATGGTTTTAATTTCTTAATATAGTATGTTCTCACAAAAAAGAGACAAGTAGAAAGATAAATAAATAAAAAGGATAATAAAATTAATAGCAGCTTGCAAAACAATGTGTAAGTAATTAACATGGAATATCTGTGTGAAGAAAAGTAATAATTATACTTTAATGCAGTTAATGTTTAATTTAACTTAATAAAATGCCCAAAACGGCATGTTTTCGTTCACATGTAATGACATGGACATGTGATCTAAAATTGCCTCCATAAGCATCTATATGTGGATGACTAACAAGTCAAATGTAGGCAACGAACTGTTGTTGGTATCTCTGGATTACGAAATAATGGTGGTATTTTATCTTGTCCCAAAATCCCATTTTGCTCCACCTTACTCTAAACAATTTTCTTTTTTTTTCACTCAAAAATATTAAATTTTCAAGACTAGGTAAAAAGTGATTTCTTTTAATTATTAGAGACAGGAAAAAAAAGTTAAAGACCAATGTTGTACGACTTTTTATAGATTATTAATTAAACAGAGTGTTCTGCTATGAGGAGCAAAATAACAACAGAGTGTTTTTTTAAACAACCTTATATATTTTTCCGTGTTCTGATTGATATCTTTTTAAGCTTTACAAACATGTTTTATTTTTTAAATCCAGCCAGCGTTGCTATGTTATTACACTTTGCTTTTATTTTTTAACGATGCAAAGCTTCACGAAAAATAGCAGCAAAATATATAATGTACAACATCGCTTTAGATAAAATATTGAACTGTAGATGTAACGTAAAATGAAATTAATAATGTGTGTGTTAGCCATATACATTAACCGGAACTTGATTTATAACTTCCATGTCGGCTATTGCAATTCCTATTAAAGAAATTTTTAACTGGAACCAAGCGTTTTTTTTTGGTTACATAATTTAGATGATAATGCAGCTTTTCCAGAAAAAATACATAAATGTGATGTGTTGATGATTTTTACTTTTATTGTGTTCTATGCATTGTTTGTATATTTCAAATTAGTGCAACAACAGTTTTATTTATTCTGCAATAGAATAAATACTCTACTTTGACAAAGGTTGTTAAATAATCGCTTGTATCAAAACTGTAAACAATCTTAATTACTAAAGTTTGAGTAAACTTATTAAAATAAAATGCAGATAGGATCATCATATACTAGGTTGTATCCTGTTATTCATCAAACAATATGGTTTTTATTTTACAATATTTTAGAACTTGTATCCGCACAGTCTTTTGCTTTTTTCTTATAATTTCATTTGGTTCACCAATATCTTATTATAAACATAAGCTTGCTGTATACCAGAACTATTTTCGTAGGTATTTATCATTGCTAAAAGTACTGAATGTTAACACATTGCACCTCGAAATATGTTTTTTTTTATTTCCGACGTTAATAAGAACTGCTTATTTAAAGTGGTTTCTAGTTTACTTTTAAATTATGAAAATGTGTTTTTTCTTTTTATTTGGTTACTTATGGCTAAAATTTATGAATATTTATCTGACAATACATTAATAAAATGTTGAGGTCAGTGACTCAAAATAGTTGCACAAAATGTTTAAATAAATGTATTATTAATTAATGCGAAGCTAACGCTTTTTTCTAAGAAATAGTTGATAGAATAGACGCTATGTTGATAACACCTTATGCAAAATGATATTCATTCTTTGCTGTAAATGAATGTAGTAGTGTTCGTTTTTTAACCTACAATTTTAAGAATTAACGCGGTGTTGTTCAATTTGGTAGGTGTAATAAAAAAAATGACCGATTGTTATTCAGGAACTTTACGTAGTGATGAAACTAATAAGACTTGCAGTAAGAATAACAAAACACAACGCAATTAAAAGAGTTTCCAATGTAGGTATTTTAAAATGATTTCATAACAAAGTTAAGTAATAATGTAGAGTGAATTTAAATTTCAGTATATTTTAGGTCTTACAAATATTCTACTTAGAATACAGAACCTCCTGTAGTTCCGATTTAAACTCAGCAACTTTGATGTATATTCATTATTTTTATGCATATATTTCTTTGACATGTATTTTTATTTCCTTTTCTACCTTAGGATACACCGCATTGCAAGTTTGTATACATAATATAGGCAGTATCCTTTTTTCTTTTGCTTGAGTATATTTTAAGGACATATTATTTTTTGTGCGTAATTCTGCTAGAGCAAAAAAAATGAAAATATTCAGTATTTACAAGCTTATTAGTTATGACACGTTTATTGGTAAATGGAACAATATTTGCCTAATAATCTAATAATAACTTGGCAAAATGAAATACTCTAAAAAAACCATTTACTTGGAAGTTGTAAACAAAAAATAGTTAGTCATTATTTAGCAAATAAATATTTAATTATACGTCATCTTCATTAATTCCCGGTACAATAAATTAAAAAATTACCTTGGCATCTTTCCACACATTGGGTTTTATCATAGTTGTGCGTCGCATTGTTACAAATTCTAGAACATGGTTCGCAAGACGTATGAAATGGTGAACAGTATTCCTCCCTTGTGCACACTTTTTGCCCACATTTTGTTCCTTCCAGTGTAATGTTGCAGTGGACCACTGTGGCAACGTACGAACTAACAATTAACAACACAATAATATCACCACAACGTTTCATTTTTATTGCTTTACGAACACTGATTTTTGTACTTTTTTAAAAAAGTGATGTAAATGAATTGAAATTTTCACCGATTTTACCGCATTGTGGAAGTTTGAACAAGAGCGATAAACACGCGGAATTTTTTAGCCATCTTGGTTGGCCATGCAACAGGTGTATGTAGAAATGGTTGACTGAGTAACTTTGCCTTACCTACCTGTATGAGTCATTGTTCTCTTGCGTTTGTAATATGGTCGTTAAGGCAAGAGTACATAAGGCGCCATATTCTCATTGGTATGCTGTGGAACAGGTTCTTGCGTTTCCTCCTGGTTTTTGACTTTCTGCCGTAGGGAAAGTTAATTCCAGTCTAGCATTTTAAGCAATTTTTCTTTCATTATTTTTTAATGTGTAGGAAATACCTTGTGAATATACAAAATATTATGCTTACGTGCTTAAATAATTATATAAATAATTGTTCTTTATGTGAAACCAGTGACTTTCGTTGTGTAACAAATATTATAAACATTTAAACAAAGATGCGCCATCTTTTGATAAATATTATTAATTCAAGTAGTACACTTTATCAATGTTATGCAAATTTAATGAACTTATATAATGAGAAATATTTTGTTTGAAACCAACATAGCGGTAGCTGAAGCATTTTTATCCACTTACACTAGAAGCTGTCTTGATATGTCTTATTTTATTTATAATAAATTTAACAGTATTTTCTACTGACATGCTAAAACAGTGCAACAAAACGATATGGTTTACTTTAATTTATTCAGAACTGAACGTGACCATAACGCACAAATATTCTGTTTCAAATATGTTTTGACTGTTGACACGGGTTTAAAAATTAATCAGGTGAATCGTTAAATAAGTTAGTTGATTAATTAATTAATGACTTTGAAAAGGGGAAAATGGATCATTCTTATGATCGGTATATCCTACAATTCAGTCCTTTTTTTGTATCTTCGTAATTACAAAGAGTAAAAAAAATAATGATTTTGTACGTCTATGATATAAAAACGAAAATTAATTTACTAGTTTTATGGATGAAGAAAAAAAAAGTACAAATGTTTAGGTATTATAATGCATGCTAAAGTTAGAGTCCTTATTCAAGCAGATGAGAATACTGTTAATAATGTGCTACTTCGCTCAAATTCAGTCTTTACTGTCATATGGGACATGGGCCTAGAGCACTAACTTACAAAGAATAATTAATTGCAAAATAGAATCATATTACACGAGTAACTACTTGCAAAAATATAAAAAAGGGTATTTTTACTTTACCACACCTATTTATTTATAACATTAAATTCCGTATTTTTTTCCAATTTAACACCAATTGGAGTAATCATTGGAGTTTACCAGATTTAATCTTTTACAATCAGAAAACCGCTTTGTCGAGAAATCTAATAATCCCCTCGTGGTGTAAGTTATTTATCATCCTGCACCTTCAGTCAACGTAACATTCAACATCAAAGTCTGCACATTTCTGTGTAAATATTTAATTAAGAATAGTGCTACAATTTTAAGAAAACCAACTTCCCTCTTCTCTACAATATTTTTCTTTTCGTTGATATGTCGTGTTTTAATTCTTTTAATGGTGTCAATACTGCATGTTCAAAATTTTAGACAAATAATTTGAAATCGGTTCCTAAATATAAATATATAAAAGTATTTTGCGTCGTTACTATCTACATTTCAAGTTGTTTATTAGAGGCATAAAAAATGATTTCCGTGAAGTATATTAATTTTTTTGGTTGCCGAGAGGAAAAACATGATTATTTTCTATTAATTTTACCACTATTACAAGATTTTTTCAATATATATGTTTTCAGAGCATTATAATATGCTACATTTAAAAGTACGAACAAACTTAATAAATGAATAATATAATAATAAACTAAAATAAATAGATATGTTTTTGTGTACTAAAAGCAAAGTGAATGAATGAATGTATGTTTACAATAGATTCGCCCGCTATTGAATGGATAAAAAATATATAAAGTTTCGGTTGTTCCAAACTTATATCGTTTAAAGTCCTATAGAGTTCGGTATTGATTTCTTAGAACTTATCACATTTATTTTGTCGCAAACTCATTATTTAATAACTTGTGAAGAAAGACATATACTTTAAGCTACAGCATCTTTTCAGTCTCCAAAGAATATGTAAAATTTAATATATCAGTAATCAGTTTTGGGCAACTCAATGACAATTTCTCTGTATAGTAGAATGTAGCATACAGCATACAAAGTTTAATTATCTCTCAAGACAGTATCAGCGTGGAAAAGCATTCAAACCGAACTTTATTATACGTAATATGGCGGTTAATTCGCTGTTTAAAAATCTAAGAGAATTTCCCAGTTAATATAAAAAAGTGTAACAGAACGTGCTCATATCTATACCATGAGTTGTCTCCATCCTAAGAACTTGGAAAGTTTTTTAGTCTGTGTCATGGCAATAAAATCTTACTGCTACGCTGTCATTATTTTTCCTAATATAATAATCACAAGATTTTCCTGGCAGTGGCAGGAACATTTAATTTTTAAGATTTATAGCCGGCTGCTTTTAAGGATTCAAGCCATCATCGTTGATTAAAAGAAAAAAAAAAGAATTTCTTAAGAAATTTGAATTAATAGACAGTTAAGAATGTCTAAAAACAGTATATATTCCCCCGAGAGATGAAAGCTTTGGTTTTCCGTTAGTTGAGTTGAAAGCGTATTTCACTTGCCGCGTTAGTCGCGAATTTTCAGCAAACTGAACGAAACAAGACAACAGGAAATTTGTATTCGAATGGTAAGTGTTATGTTTCAATTTTTATGTTAATACCGAATTATATATTAATTAATTACACTGAAATTGAGCTTATAGCGGCGGTGTTTGTAGAATTCATTGCAAATTTCGTTTTCTAGCTTGTTGAAATTAATAAATTAAATGTCGTTGATGTGGGTGTGATGATAATGAGTTCCACATTGTGCTGCTGAATTTGATTTCCATCCAGATGTTGTTTTGATTTCTATTAAACTAAAGTTAATAATTGCAAGCGTAGTGGTGACGCTTTAAAACGTATTATTTGTTTTAGGGCAATGAACATTGAAATAATTTTTGCTAATTTTATACTTATGGTGAAAGAAAAGGATAATTTGATTTTTGTAGTAGGAATAGTCGGTGGAATTTTATTTTTCAAATATTACTATAACTTATCTGCAAGTTTTTGTTTCAGTTCACAATGCTATGTGTAATTAAATATATACATAATAAGAAAAAATGAATAAAATAATGATAAATTTTGCAACTATTTGATACCTTAGTTAAAATTCTTAGTCAGGGACTAAGCTGCTGTCTCGCTGTGATCAGTCACCTTATTGATAAACACAGTTATTTAATATTCAAAGTTCTGAATCAAGAATTTCAAGAAGAATAAAATTTAGTAAATAACATGAACATACTATACCTACATATTTTCAAATTTACTGTCAATAAATTAACTGTTTTCACTTTTTGATCATGTTATGTACGTTAATTGAAAAATGAACCAATGGTCACATACTAATACATAATAATATACATATTAATAAATTGTGGTGATGGTAGTCATTGCTATTGATGTATGAAGTTCTGATTTATACAGTTTCTGAAATCGTTAAATAAAACCGCTATAAATCTTTGAAGCAGCTGAATTGCAAACTGTACAAGTAAAGGTGGAGATGGATTGGAAAAAAATCGGTTTACTCTTTGAATATCTTGAGACTTGGGTCTCCACAAGATTTAAACTTCTAACACTGAATAACATTTCTATCATTCCCGAATGTATTGCTTTACGGACAATGCCCTAATCCCTTGAATTTCTGTGGTCTGAAAACGGAGCGCAATTCAATTGAAAGTTTCCACGCACCTAACTGCCTGATATTTGAGCAAAATTTGGATACGACTTTTTTTGGTATGCCTTGCTTTAGGAAACTTGTTAATTTGTTCCTCTGTTACTAATAAAGTTTCTTCGCCTTTATTTTAACGCTACACACATATCTAAATATGAACCTATATATGTTTTCTTGTGAGGGTAAAATAAAATGCGCAAAGTAAAATTTTCTGATTTTTTGAAAAAGTTAGATATGTCTTTCATGCTCGGGGGAAATTATGTCTAAGTAACCTTGGACCAATTTCCAATTTTGTCCGTTTTTGTATATCTGGGGAGAAAAAAATTGATTTTTTTAACAACTAGAGATTTATTGGGTCATATACAAAGTTTTCTGTAGTATTAATATAAATACTGCGCCAATAAATATTTAAAGACGATTAACTACATTTATTCTCTTAATTATTATTAGTACATAGTTTAAACTGAAAATCAAAATATTGTCCATATTTATCCGTAAGTCGTTAACAGACGTTATTACAATTTAAGTGCTGTGAATTATTCTTTGATTCTCCCGAATGAAGTGTTGAATCATTTTGTATTTTTTTTGACGAAACACGCAAAAGTTCATGTTTGTGTCGCCATAATTGAAACTGTCAATTTTATTTTGGCGTCTTTCCGTATGAAATAAGTAATATTTTATTCACATTATTTTGAGTGTGTTGTATTGCACATACAGCTAGATAAAAAATTAAACGATTGCTTGATGTTTCCATCGTTGTATATAACATAATCCGTAATATAATATTGCGTCTGAACGCTAATTTTATCACTTGACGAAACTTTTGACCGAATACCCGAGAGGCGCTGTCCCCTGGTGGTGAGATATTAAAGATATTGTTAAATGTCGAGATGATCTGCAGACATCTATTTCAGACTGTACGGAAATAAGTTTTGCCACATTTTGGGCGTTATCAAGTCTTAGTGCTTGTTTAACCACAACTACAAACCTGCATTTTTACCCTGGGTCCGTACAAAAGAGGAAACTTAATGCTATCCGTTTTTGCTTTTTGGCTAAACTTAATTCATTCAGTTTTTGTTTTTATACTTACATTGTTGGATAAAAATATGGGAAATAATTTCAATGATCTTGTGTGTTCTTTTTAAGTACAAAACGTGGGCATAATCTTCGGTTTCTTTTTATTGTTATTTTAATAAATAAAAGAGAAATGTTACACATCTTTTCGATGGTAGACAACACATGCCCACTTCATTTTTTTTTGTTTTCTGTTAATTACTTTTTGTACAGAGTTTCTATAAATGATTAGAGGGTCGAAGTAGGTCATGAAAGCGTACCGCCTATCACTTTATATGTATTTTACTACTTGTACAAGGACGCATGACAAATACACGCAGCTGTATAACTGGTTGCCTAATGATTCGTTTATTATGTCATTAAAAAATAAAACTTACACTAAAAATAAACAAATTTATTGCGGTTAAACATCTGAGTAAATGTTGAAAATGTTCACCATTTTGTTCTCAAGGCACATGTTCACTCTCTGCGTTATTTCCAAAAATCTCTTATTTCATGCTGTAACAGAAACTCTTAACTGCTGAGACAATTTTGCCAAAGATGACTCTTAGATACTGAAGGTCTTCCATGAGATTTCCTTTTGATGACACTACTAGTTCGAACAAATCTATTGATTAGATCTCTAATGTGTTCCTTGAATTTGCAAATTGGGGTATTTAGCCAGATATTCTTGCTTACAACCGGTTATAGAATCCACTCCCCGTTTCCTAATGTTCTGTTGCGATAATAAGACATAACAATGAAAAGTGTCTTGTTCTACAGAATAAACCATTTTCACGGTCTTTGCTTCCTAACACAAAAACAAAATTTTCGTACGCAAGCACCAAGATTCTTGAAAACTACTATTTTTATTTGTTGTTTTGAGCTTGGATCAACGAGAATTACTGTAATTTACATTTGAAAAATGTTAGAAGAATAAAAGCTATGATTTTAAATGACAGGTTACAAATAACACTAATCATAACATTCATAAGTGAGGCATAATTTCAGCGAAGCGGGATTTTTCAAATCGATGACCAACTAAGTACGTCCTTAGAAGCATTTAGAAAAACACTGTATATTTTCAGATTTTTGTTTCATTGTTTGTTATAGAGCTTTCTTGATTTATTATCACTTAGTGTTTGGGGAGGGGATATTTTTTCTCTGCATTCCTTAACATGATATTAAGTAATTATCGTAGATCACATAATAAATAGATACCAATACTCAAACTGAAAGCTGTGACTAGACATGAAGCTATCTGTTGTCGTTTTCTACGTCAAGGGGAGTAGTATAATGCTATCCTTGTGTGATCACCACATCTTCATCTTTGTTATATGCATTTCATCTGTATATGTCTATTTCACTTCCATCCTTGTATCGCACCAGCGCAACAAATCGCTTTTGACAGATGTTTCTTCTAACCTCTCTTTCGAGTTGTACAAAAAACAATTTTAGAATTTAGAACAAAGATCCTATTTTAAGTGATGTAGTCATAAAGGATCACAATTGCTGCCCAATAATTTAATATTCCTTTCGTTATCTACTGTGAATTATTTATAAAATCAAGCTGTTAACATTTTTCTTCCGAAGTTAGTTCAGACATACTTCCTAAAATTTAGGCGCGCAAAATTCAAATAGTGATCAGGCAAGGATAGCTTCATTGTAATCCCTCCATGCACGAGAGAGATGTGTGACAGGAGGATGTCGTCACAGGCTGTCCTAGGGAAAGAACACGGCATGGTGGTATCTATTTATTATATGATCTAAGGTAATTATTTACAAGAACATTGAAATTGTACGTGAGTTTTCGAGTGAACAAAAAGTAAATCAACAAATCAGGTATGATGTCATCAAATATTTAAAAAACTTAAAGTTTTGACACATTTAATAAGTGATTTATTTTCGATCGAAGTATAACATTTTTAGCGTCTTGAACTATCATGAGGGAAGAAAAAATTCAAAACCGTGAAGTCTACAATCTAAATTAGTCTAAAATGCAAGAATTTGGAAAATGAATAATTGAGCATTATCTTAAAATACGTACAAAAATTGCCGTTGAATTTGAACGAAATTCTTTTAAGACTAAGAGATATTTTAGGTTTCAAATTTAGCACTAAAGGTGGTATTCATACAGGCATTATTTCTTTCACTTTATAAAAAAGGCAGCTGTAATTTTTCCATTAAGAAAAAGACAACGAAAAGTTTTTGCACGTATTTACAAGTATATATTAATCAATAACTATAAAAAAGAGAAATAAAAACTATTGCAAATTCTTTTCTTTACTCTTAAGATTAACTCCTTGGTTTATTTTCAGCACCTCTATTGATTCACCTACCTGTAAATCTCTTCTACTTCGGAAGGGAAAAGGTCTCTGGAGGGCCACATATTGCATTAAATGTCTTTGTTAGACTGATCTGAAGCAACAGTAAACATCAAGAAGCCAATTTCGATGCACGTGACATTATTCTTTCGAGATGTGATTCCGGTGGGTCAAATGTAAACCTACACCTGTTTGCACGTGTATACTTTCTCGGACACGTGGCATTAGGTAATCCTTTGAGAACTAAATATGGGGAGTAAGAAAAATTAAGCTTATAATTTTCTCACAGGTTTAGATCATTGATTTTTCGTGTAAAGCTTCAGAATATTGCTCTGAAAATATAATTTAATATTAGATTACGAAGAAATTTTGGTTTTGCAAAAAACTGTTCAATGTAAATGTTGAATTTAAATAATGCGTTAGATCAGGTGGAATGATATTACAGGTTCGATTAATTAGTTAATTAAATAAACACCCACATAAACGATCAGGTAGCATAATATATTTACGTATGTTACATAAAACCAGGTACTTACTACAATGTTTGCTACAGTACACAAAATTTCAGATACATAATATTTCTTGAAACAACAAAGGTCTAAATATATGCATTAACTTTCGCTGCATAATACCTAACAAAACATCTGGGAGTCTCCATATCTTGCGATATCTTGTATTCAACCAAAAACCTCTAATTCATCGAAATCGAATGATCTTACTGAGATTTCAGCTGCAACTTGGAAAGTGGAGCTTCATTCATGAACGCGTATTTTGTTGTTTCGGTATGATCCAACATTCGTCTGCGTTGTTGTCAAACTTTAGTCCTGTATTACACGTTTGTATTTTACTTAAGATATTCATTTTTTACTTACTCTGAACTTAAGTCTCCTACTATCGTCGTATCTGTGTCGTCGTGCGATAGTCTTGCAAAATTATCTGCAGCATCCCTGTAATAAAAAATTGCAAAAGGCTGTTCTGTGTTGAAAGTGACAAGGTTAGAAAAAGCCAGTGTAGCACAAACAAACCTTGTAAACGGCTTCGTTTCCACCATCGTTAAAGCAGTAACAATGGCGGAATTGCGACGACCATTCAAATCACATACGCTTTGAACAACAAAGGCATTAGTGACACAAAGCTGAAATTTACACGAATTATTACTAAAGTTCTTACTTGATGTCCTTATCATCTGGGGATTTCTTGATCTGATTTAGACAGTGGCGGATCCAGTTTGAACTGTCTCTATTAAAATGAAATATTGAAACATATTACATTTGATTGGTGCAACATAAGATCTTATTTATTACGCAACATTGGACAGTCAGTTCTGTTACTAACTGAATTAACTGAATTAATTTCAATTTTAATAAAAATAATAATAAGCATCTTGCTTTTAGATGTACATATTTGATTTTGTTTGCAGTGATGTGGTAGGCCCTTAAGCATTTTACCTCCTCGTTTAACAACAGTAGCTTATTAATAATTCCCCAATGAAAATTTGCCAAATCTGTTAGATGGGGCACTTGCTCAAAATGCTAGAGAATTTTTTTTTCAAGACAGTGGATAGGAAGGAATGGACCAGTGTTATGGCCATCTCGCTCTTCGGACCTTATTCAATGCGATTTTTTTCGTTTGAAATAATTGGTTTATGAAATTCCCGTAAATACAATTCAAGAGCTAATAAATCGGATTGAGAATACTGCAGCGGAGAATGGTGGGAAATCCGGATATCATAGTCCGATTATAGCCGTCATTAATTCGGCGTGCTGAGGGATGTCTCGCCAATGGAGATCGTCAGTTTGAACAATTGATTAATCCGCTAATTTTATTTTTCTGCTGTTTTCGTGTTGTATTGCATGTATTTTTCAATTGATCTTCACCAGTTTCCATACCTTTCGACTTTTTATTTTGTATTGCCCTTAAAAAAACTTGTTTATTTATGCCAAAATAAGTTTTGTAATTCATTCGACAAAGCAAAAGTGTTTCTCATTTTTTATTGTTACTACAGTTGAATTAACAAAAAGTGCTGTGGTATATTCAAATCAAGAGGGACAATATGTTTCAAGTAAACATATAGATTCTGAGCTAATAGAGATTAAAGCCTAAACTTTCAATCATTTAATGGGTTGTTGGTTCTACAATGAATCATGTTCTGGTCTTGATGACTTATGTCTTCGTACAAAACTTCAAAAATTTTGCAACTCACCAACTCTCGTCATACTGAGAATCGCAGTATTAGTTTTAGTATTTTACTAATCTGCTCTATTTTTCCACGCAATTTTTTTTTTGGTAATTTCATATGATTAATAGGCAAGATATTAAAAAAAAATCAATCTTTAAATTGTCAATTTTGTTCTCTAGCGCCGGGATTTTTGTGATTACTGTTTAGGGCTTTTTGTTGTTAGGATTTAGTAAAATAAAAGAAGGGTTAATTTTTTTCTCATAATTTTGATAAAACAAATTAAGTTTTTCAGAATTTTTCGACTTCGTCAAATTTATATTTGACTTAACAAATATGTCAACAATAACAGTAAATACACATAATAAAACGATTATACGAAAATATATATTCAGTACCTGACCGGCACGAAAGACGAACCACGGAATATTTTTTTGAATATAGTATTTTATCGTGTTTACTGTGCTTATTTTTGATATTGTTTCTTGATCAGCATGTAAATTGAGGATTTTCACATTTGCGATTAACCTTAAATATATCTTTAATGAATGTTGAGTTTAATACTGTGGCGACAGATTTGAATTAAAATTTCGCGCTAAAAAGAAACAACGGCGCGAAATCGCATTTGAATAATTTGAATTAAAAAAAAAACAAAGCAAGAAAATCGTTAAACATAGGCAACCATGTGCAAATTTAGTGCTTTTTGGGTAGTTATTAGCTCTCCTAGGGAATTTCTGTGAGAGGGTTGGTAGAAGTTGATTTGGTGGCTAGAGGGTGAAAGGCGTCATTTTTGGTTTGTTTGTTGTGAGTGAAACCACGTTGTAAATTAGCTAGGTTAAGTTTAGTTGTTTTGTTAGTTAATAAAAGGGAGGAAGTTTTTGTTTAACGACAATTACATATTTTCTTGCAACGTGGAAAAGTACATCACCGAGATTTTGTGTTTATTTTATCATGTGTTTTGTTTGGGATAAGTTGGTTCACGATATAAACTCTCTAAGTTAATTGTTTTAAGTAACCAATCACTTGGATCAAGGCATAATTTTACATCACGTAAATTCTCTGTTCGAACCGTTGATAAAGTGTGACATAAATTTAACATAATGTAAATCCTTTGCTTGAATCATTGATCAAGTGTGGCAAAATTTAACATAATGTAAATTCTTTGTTTGAATCGTTGATAAAGTGTGGCATAATTTAACATCAGGTAAATTCTTTGTTCTGGCAGCGGTCATGTTGAAAGAGTATTTTCAAACTGAGCACATGTTTGAACTATAACTTTTTTAAAAATATTTACATTGATTTAGAGCGCGTTTAATTTGATTTCATTCAAAGTTAGGCAAGTTTTTTTTGTAGCTGACCATTAAGAGCGGTCTTCAACCGGGACAACTTAGTCGCAGCTTTTTTTTTTTTACAATAATTTTGTATTCTCCATATATTTTGTGTTATACATAGCGGTACTTTTTCAACGGGGGGTCCACCACACAAAGACAATGTAGGGTTCCATTTTGTCAGACGATCACAGCCAAGGCCAAATTTTTCAATTTTTCAATTTTTCGCGGGCTTTTCAAATTTTTTCACATGTCAATTTAAGGCGGGATGTTTGAGTTATCACAATATTTTCTTCTGATTTTACTCAAAATGAAACAGAGTTGGAAAAAAGTAGGTACTGTTTTATTATCAGTTCTCACTCGTACTTTCCATTTTTGTCAGCGTTGCTGGGCTTTTCAGAATTTTCAGTATTTGACAGTTTTTATTTATGGCTTCAAAATGTCGTTAAGTCCAGAAAATGTGACGTGGAATGCAAGGTGTTTATGCACGTTTTTTGGAAAATGGGGCGTACATCATACGTCACGGAACTCATCCCCATAGACAAACAAGCCAAAGAGATGACCGTTTTGTCATTAATTTGGTATTGAGAAATTGCCATATGACTTCTGTGGAAGCCAAAAATGAATTGCAGTACGTCCGGAATGCTTCTACCAGTGAACGTACTGTGCGATGAAAGGTTTGAAGAAACGAACTCAAATATGGAAGACCTGCTACTGGTCTAACGCTTTTCAGAGTTCACCGCGTAGCTCAACTAGAGTTTGCTCGGGATGATCAGTATTGGTGCCAGGATGTTCAGTCATGGTATGGGCTGGAATATCTTTGGAAGGACGCATTGAGTTCTACTGTCTTCCTAGACGGTCATTAACTGCCGTAAGGTACATAACGAAATAGTGTTTTTATGCACGATAATGCAAAGCCGCATGTAGCAAGAGTTGAGTTGGATTATTTGCATGAGCTTACATCCCACGAATGATTTGGCCGGCTCAAAATCGGACTTAAATCCGATTGAGTATGTTTGGGACAGCTTGGTAAAAGAGTACGAAATCGTGTACCTGCACCACACACTTTAGATGAGCTTCGGAATGTGCTTTTCGAGGACTGAGAGAATATCCCAAAAGAAGAAATAAACAATTCGTTGGATGCCCGGAAAAACCTTGCATACCAACATCAAAGTAGTGCACCCAAAATCGTACTTTATTTTGCACATGTTCAGATCCTTTTTTTAAAAAAATAAGGGCGCTCAGTGTATTTGTGAAACGATGTTATCAACTTTCTAGAGCAGATAATTGTTCTGGTTTCCAAACAATTCTGGAAGATATAATGATCGAGATTCTGTGAATATATGTATAAATAAAATTATGTTGTTCACCCGATATATGTATGACACAGAAAGGTACTTCAAGCGAAAATATCTTTGACTAAGTTTATTTTTCACAAATCCAAACAATTAGCGAAAACTTTAAACAGTAAAGCAGAATACTAATTTAATATTTAGAATAACCAAAAATAGAATAAACAATTCGAAACTATGTTTAATCATATAACCACATTTTGTTTAAAATAACTCTTCCAAACATAATCTGTCTACCTATCGCTCGTTCGAATTTCGAAATCTCACCGCTAAATAAAAAGTCCAGCGTGAATCGCCAATAGTGCTTTCCTGGCTGTTAAACTTTACCAATTTATTTCGTCCATGCCGGAAAAGATTTGCAGATAGGTATCACTAGTTTTAGCTGACCTATTTTGTATTCTTTACTAGAATGATCCTGAATATAATTTCTGGAATAAATTTGGATTTAAATTTTATGAAAGATATACATGTAACTATAATCTTTAATGTAAGATAAATGTTGGCCAATTTGTGACAAAAGTATAAAAATAATTAAAGAAATTTAAGTGTCTTTAGAAATGCAGTTTCAGTAAAGGAGGTAGGCATTTAAAAATATATTTTTATAGGTAAACTAAAATTTGTCATTTTAGGCTTTATATTCCCACAACCACTATTTCGAACAGAAGATAGTTTCATGCTTCCACACAAATTTCTTTATTTTAGCACGTGACAATAAGTAAGAATTCTAAAATTTTAGTTCTTTTTGAAATATATGAAGCATTGTCTGTAGTTTAGAGCTCAAAAATCAATTTTTTTTTTTAATTTCTACTTACTTTTCATTTGAGGGTTCTGACTCAGGAGCAGTCGATACCACGGTTAAATTTCTGCAAGGAGTGTAGTCGTGGTTTCTCAGTGACATATGTAAGTAAAAACTGTTCTTAACAGCAGTTTGTACTTCTCCGTTGAGAAAACAATACAATATGGCAACAAAGAAACCCTGGAAAGAGCTGAGAAAGTAGTTGGAATATGACCATAATGCAAGTTTCCATGCTTCCGTAAATCGATAATCTACCCAGAAGAAAACATTGGCAATTCCCATTAGTGGCAAAAGGAATATTGCAGCGCGCACTGCTTTTCTGGGAAAATCAAAACAACATTAATTAAAGGCAAATACTTACGTTAAATTGCAATGCAATTTACATTGAGAATCAACGTGTCAATAGTTAGTGTTTTGTAGGTAGCTGGTGCTGTTAATTACCTCATTGTTAATTGTTAATTTTCATTGTTACGAGGTATACATACATACGTAGGGTTCGTCAAGAGTGGAATAAATTCGATAAAATATTCAGGAATGAAATTAGGCATGTCGATTCTGTTTTTACGCTGGCTGTCAACTGGTTTGAGCATTTTGGAAACAAAGTTCAGCGAATTTGTTCCAGATTTTACGGACACACAGGGAAATTTAGTAAAGGACTCACCTCACTTGTTCAATTTCGCTAGTACGACTTTCTCGTAATTTCACAACTAATACTCTAATGATGTTTATCAAGAAGAGCAGATTGACCTGCGAAAATAGTAATAATTTGGTTATACTTACTAAGAACTCCTGAGTATTTGCATTTTAAAACAAAATATTGGCTTTTCGTCTAATTATTATTTATTGTGCCAAGAATTAACCTATGTAGTAAATGTTTCAACTATGTATAAAGTTTTGCATAAATAATTTTTCGGTGATGGTGTTTTCAGAAATATAAAAAATCTGGTTTTAGAAGTGTCTCCCTTATCTTATAAATAAAAGTGCCAAGACGATGTAGGAATAAATTATTGTTTTACCACTATTATTGTTGAGCGTGGACCTTCCAGAATCCAATAGTATGGTAGAAAGTAGTAAAATCCCCAACTGCTGGAATAAAAAAAAAATAAATTCAGCAAATAAATTAGCTATTTATGTGTAAACTTGTAAAGTTGTAATAAATTATTTTCTTACAACGGCAGTTTAGGTGACACAAATTTTACAATGAGGTCTATGTTGTTTCAAAATTAACGTTCAGTTGAAAAAACCGTTCAGCGATAGATCGAAAGAAATTTAATGCTTTTTCCTTTTTTTAATAATAATTTGTCTATTGCCTTAGCAACATTAACAGATGTCTCAGGAATCTCGTTGTGGAAGATATGCATTCTCATAAATTACAGAAACTCTTATAAATGTCCAAATTTTAATTTAACAAGCCACAATCTGATTTATTACTAAAAATATTTGATATCGAGTTTCTTCTGCTGTGCTTTTTATTCGAACTTTCGTCGTCTCTAAAGCAAAACTAACACCCGTATTTACTGTATTTCGGCAGTTAGGTTTTCTGTGTAAATAAGATTTATAGATGTATGGTATACAACAGAAAATAATTATTTAAGGAATGTCAAGTAACTGTTAAATCAATACACGTAATACAACACCATTTCATTAATAATTTTAATGAATAGGTAATTTTTAAGAAAATCATATATTTTGTGTATCTAATAATAAGTTGAAATATTAAATTATAATTGACAGCTAACACGTGAAAAAAATTTACTGAACATATTACCTACTGAAATGGTGTAATCAATGTTTTGTTGGAAATTACTATATTGCACTATTTTTTTGATATATACAATGTGACATAAGACTGACATTACTATCATCTTAGAGTTTAAAAAATAGAACAAAATACATTGTACTTTGTACTTAAATTCATTTTAAGTAATAACATTATTTTAATGATATAAACGATACCTTTTAATAAAGATTTGTTTAGTGACTCCTTCAGGCTGTATCATCAACTTTCTTGGAAGGATGTATAAATAAATTTTAATTACTGTTCTCTCATCATGAAGTCACTGCCTGTACCTCAACCAAATTTCAGCGAAAATTTAATTTTAGTTATGACTTTATAAATTTTATATGAAAAGATGACATTAATACAAGTTAGAGTTGACCTCATCAGTGTGAGGCGATGAATGTTAGCATTTAGTAAACTACACGAATTAGATATTTTTGATACTTTTTACACCTTTAGATTGCACGTTTACTTTTTGCAGTAAAAAGTAAACGTGCAATCGCGTGTTAAAAAAGAAGTCAAAACTATTTGTACATTGTGACAAAAGAGCCTGTTTGGTCGTAATTACTGTAACATTTTCGTTTTTGTGTATATAGATTTTAGTATAGATAATTAACTTTAGTTAACTTGTAATATTGGTATTAATTGTTGTACAAAATAAGTGCTAGTTTTTCTTGCTAGTTACTCCACCTACGAATTCAATCGAAACCGCAGCGAATATTCACTAATCATAGTTCAACGTTTAGTAGTGAATTTATGTCAATACTTGTTTTTCGGATTTTAAAGTTATGATGGTATTAAACCCATTCACCAGTTCTAAAGTTAACGTTCTCATCAAATTATTATTATTATTTTTCTTTTTATTATTATTAGTGACCCCCCCTACAGATAAACCAATTATTAGGGTGGTATATTAAGGCTAAATTAGATCGTTAAAAATGCATCATTAAATAGTTAAAAATTAATAGACAGTTATAGATGCGCATTTTTGATCTGGCGTAAACTACAATTGAAAATGTCAAATTTATTTCGATAATTAAGTATTATAAATTCTGCACATAGTTGTAATGGGCGAGAACACATGTATCTACATTTGTTCTAGAAATCTTAGTATAAAAACACAAAGGGTTTCGAATGTCTGACCGGCGAAGCAGAAAGCATACATTTTCAACTAAAGCATTAGAATTTACAATACCATTCACCAATTTAAAAAGAAAATAGAGAGACAAAGTTTCTCTCCTCTTTTCCAAGCTTTGAATGGAAAAGAAAACCAAAAGCTCACTTTGAGGAAAATCTCTACAAGGGTAATAGCCAAATCGTTTGAAATGGAGGAATTTTAAAAATTTTCTTTGTAATTTTTTAATTTGAGACAATGAACATCATAGCCTGGGGACCAAATAACACAGCCATACTCTAGTTTTGATCTAACGAATGAAGTGTATAAACTAAGGAGAGTACTATTAAGTTGAAAGCTTTTGCAATTACGAATGATAAACACTAACGTCCTGAGGAAAATCATAATGATCAATGAAGGATAATTTTTGATCAAATAGTAGTAGTATTAATTTATTATTTGCCTTACAGGCTTAATAAAATTCCCAGTAGGGGTACAAATTATCTTAATCTACATAATACACATAAATCACTAAATTAGTAAAATAAAATAAATATTCGAGTTTTATTCAATTTTTTCTGCTTGCCCACCCCTTGCCATAGTTCCCTTCTCTCTCTCTCTCTCTCTCTTTTTCTATACTATGCATTATATCTAGACATCTATATTCGATATTCTCGATCTGCGTTCTTGCTTATCTATATCCTTATCTCTTACACTCAGTTCTTCTTTCATACTCCTTCCCATTTCTCTCATTCTCTCTATTTCTTCACATGCATATCCCTTTCCTTCATAATACTTGTCTCTTTCGTTTCAAACATGTTTTCCCCCTTCCTTTCTTATTTTTTTCCAACATTCTTGCAATATTTTGCAATCACCTCTCTCACTAAACTTCACTTCAAATCCAACCGCCATTTTACCCGCTTCCACTCTCATTTTCTCCCTTTTTGTTTCTTCTCTCACTATATATCCCGGCGTATACTTTTCCAATCCCAATGACCATTTCATTCAAGTGTTTTTCTTGCACTCTCTCTATTTTTTCATATTCCCTCCATCCTCAAATCTCAGCTCCGTACATAAATGCACTATCAACTACAAACTATCAAGCATCATCATTCTTCTTTTATAATTTTCTCTCTCCTATTCCCCATACTATATTTTTGATCAAATATAATGCTCAAATTATAGAAAGAATACATTTTGAAGAGAAGAAATACAGTTCGAAGAAAACGGAATAATTCTTTTCGGCAGAGTTTTGTAAAAAGAAATAGCGTTTCCTGTGTGCAGGGAAAATTTATTTATAATAATGGATTAGAAAATGACGTTGGTAATAAATAGTGGTATGTATTGTGTATACCTCAGATTACATCTCAAATATAGTTAAAATTAGTGTTTAGGTTTTTTGATAATAAACTAGCTGACCCCGTGAACTTCGTTTCACCTACAACTTAATTTTGAATCTGCAAACCGAATGCTTTGAAATCTGGCAGATGTTTTAAACATCTGATAAGCATAATACATTTTTATTCAAAATAATACTTACTTCTTCCAAAAAATTGATGACGTCAGCCCAAAATTTTGCCAAATGAATCCTTTTTAAAATATCCAAAATAGGATGAGACTATACTTGTGATTTATCATTCCATTCATATTTTTTAGTTTTGCTTATAGGGGGTGTCTCAAAAAAAAATTAATCACTGAGTCAGTTTATTTTATTGATTGAATCAAGAATTGCAAAACTAAATTTTTAGATTTATTGCAGACGTTTTGAAGTTACTGTTTGACATGGTACGTTTTTAATTAAAATATATCTGTTTATCAAGCCCAAAAACTTGATGACGTCATCTCAAGATTTTGCCGAATAAATCCTATCTAAAATGTGCAAAATATCATCAGTATATTTTCGTAAATTTATCATTGCATTCATATTTTTTAGATTTGCTTTTACAGTGACAAAAAAAAATGTATGGATCACTCAATTTATTTTAGAAAATAACTCATTTTCCTAAGAACACGAGGTTAGCAAAAACAAATTAGTTTGTTTAAACATTGTTAAATTAACCCCGAACATGTACAATTTCTGAGCGAAAATATGAAAAATAATTTTTGCAATCTCATCGTGACGTACGATGACGCCACTGTCACGTGAGCCACCTGATAAAAGGTCATATTTTTCGGTCCTCTGCGTTTAGTTTTGATTTCGGTTTGGTGGCAGCAACATCAGAGTCCGTTTTGGCTTAAAAGTAGGGCTGTTTTCACGAATTTCTAATTTATATATTTAAATATTAGTGAAAATGTGTTTTATTAGTACTGTGAACACGAACGAAAATGGATATTTTTTCGAAAAGGACCGAAAACAGGGTAAGTTCGAGTTCAGTTTTAATTTATCGGATTCCGTGATTCGTTCACTCGACAATATTTAAATTTTGGGAAAATTTTCGAAACGATTGAAATCGGTTGATCAAAGCTATACATTTTCACGACATAAATAAATAAATTTTAAACATAATTAATATCATTTGAGGACCCGGGTGGGTTAGGTAGAATCGCGCTTGCCTGCCACACCTTGGGTCGTGGGTTCGATTCCCGCCCTGCTCTGGGTGTTGTGTATGTCCTCCGTTACCCTGTAATTGGGCCTCCGGCCTGTTGGGTAACGTTAATCAATTAAAAAAAAAATTAAAAAATTAAAAATCATTTATAATGTTTAAATATGATAAGCATCAATGTATGATAATTAAACCGAAACCCGTTGTCCTACAAGCCCGAAATTATTAAAAACAAATCAATTTGTTTAAACAATGTTAAATTATCCCCGAAAATGTGCATTTTCCCGGCCAAAATATGAAAAATAAATTTTGCAATCTCATCGTGACGTACGATGACGTCAATGTCACCTGAGCTACTTGTATAAAGGTCACGTGTTTCGGTCCTTTGTATTCAGTTTTAATTTCTGTTTGATGGCGGCAAGATCGTCGCTTCATTTCGGCGTAAAAGTGGAGCGTTTTAGCGAATTTCTAGTTTATTATTAATACATATTACGGAAAATATGTTGTGTTAGTGCTGTGAACACGAACGAAAATGAATATTTTTCCGAAAAGGACCGAAAACAGGGTAAGTACGACTTCAGTTTTAATTTATCGGATTCCGTGATTCGTTTGGTCGACAATGTTTACATTTTGGATAAATTTTCGAAAC